ACCTAACCAGACTATAATCACTGTCTACTTAACCAAACTATAATCACTTGCTCCCTACCCAAACTATAATCACTTGCTCCCTAACCAAACTATAATCACTTGCTCCCTAACCAAACTATAATCACTGTCTACCTAACCAAACTATAATCACTGTCTGCCTAACCAAACTATAATCACTGTCTATCTAATCAAACTATAATCACTGGCTATCTAACCAAACTATAATCACTGTCTATCTAACCAAACTATAATCACTGTCTATCTAATCAAACTATAATCACTGGCTATCTAACCAAACTATAATCACTGTCTATCTAATCAAACTATAATCACTGGCTACCTAACCAAACTATAATCACTTGCTCCCTAACCAAACTATAATCACTGTCTACCTAACCAAACTATAATCACTGGCTATCTAACCAAACTATAATCACTGTCTACCTCACCAAACTATAAACACTGTCTACCTAACCAAACTATAAACACTGTCTACCTAACCAAACTATAATCACTTGCTCCCTAACCAAACTATAATCACTTGCTCCCTAACCAAACTATAATCACTTGCTCCCTAACCAAACTATAATCACTGTCTACCTAACCTAACTATAATCACTGTCTGCCTAACCAAACTATAATCACTGTCTATCTAATCAAACTATAATCACTGGCTATCTAACCAAACTATAATCACTGTCTACCTAACCAAACTATAATCACTGTCTATCTAATCAAACTATAATCACTGGCTATCTAACCAAACTATAATCACTTGCTCCCTAACCAAACTATAATCACTGTCTACCTAACCAAACTATAATCACTGTCTATCTAATCAAACTATAATCACTGGCTATCTAACCAAACTATAATCACTGTCTACCTAACCAAACTATAATCACTGTCTACCGAACTAGTCTATAATTACTGTGTACCTAACCAAACTATAATCACTGTCTATCTAATCAAACTATAATCACTGGCCATCTAACCAAGCTATGATCACTGGCTACCTAACCAAACTATAATCACTGTCCACCTAACCAAACTATAATCACTGTCCACCTAACCAAACTATAATCACTGTCTACCTAACCAGACTATAATCACTGTCTACCTAACTAAACTATAATCACTGACTACCTAACCAAACTATAATCACTGGCTACCTCACCAAACTATTATTACTGGCTACCTAACCAAACTATTATTACTGGCTATCTATCATAAAACTATGATCACTGGCTCCCTAACCAAACTGTGATCACTGGCTACAAAACAGGACTGCCCACTGTCCACATAGCTACATTATCAGCATTGACCAACAATATTGTGGCCAGTAGTCCTTATGTAGTATCACACAATGAATAGGCCTACCTTGATTCACAATATCTTGCTTGAGACTGTCAGTGACTTTCTGAGTAACACTATACTCTTGAAGAAACAGTTCAGTTTCTGCTTCAATCAGTAATAATTGTTGATTTAAAAATCTACTCAGGAGACTTTCAGGCAATAACACCTGTCCTAGCTGGAAATAGCGAACATCAACATGATATCCTTTGTCACAATTTTCTTCTCTGCTACAGTCATCACACAAGTCAGTGAGGTAGCAATCAGCTAGATTTGGAGGACAGCAATTACCTACAAACAATCCAATAGTAAATAAATACATTATCTATAAAATATTTATATGGTATTTATATAGTATCATTTTAATAATTCATCTTGGTATGTACATTAGATTCATGGAAGTATGCACTTCACATACACGGAAGTATGCACATCACATACACGGAAGTATGCACATCACATACACGGAAGTATGCACATCACATTCATGGAAGTATGCACATCACATACACGGAAGTATGCACATCACATACACGGAAGTATGCACATCACACTCACGGAAGTATGACATCACATACACGGAAGTATGCACATCACATTCACGGCAGTATGCACATCACATTCACGGCAGTATGCACATCACATTCACGGAAGTATGCACATCACATTCACAGAAGTATGCACATCACATTCACGGGAGTGAAATGTCTGAGATCATGCAGTGTGTGTGATCCCAACACTGTGTAGTGTCTGATATCATGTAGTGTGTGTGATTCTAACACTGTGTAGTGTCTGATATTACGTAGCGTGTGTGATCCCAACACTGTGTAATGTCTGATATCATGTAGTGTGTGTGATTCTAACACTGTGTAGTGTCTGATATCATGTAGTGTGTGTGATTCTAACACTGTGTAGTGTCTGATATCATGCAGTGTGTGATTCTAACACTGTGTAGTGTCTGATATCATGTAGTGTGTGATCCCAACACTGTGTAATGTCTGATATCATGTAGTGTGTGTGATCCCAACACTGTGTAATGTCTGATATCA